ACTCCCTAATATCAAAGGGCGGGGTCCTCGGCGGAGATTATGAAAATGACTCCTAAAAGGAACCTCTATTGTGAGGTCTATCTAGGCGTAGCAGTGCTGAAATTTCAACCCTAAAAGGGACCAATCAATAACGGGCCATTTTGTTTTGGTTTCCCGATTTTATTTATGTTTTAACACAATCATCGAACACAGTCGGCTCGTATTGAGTTTATGACGACGTTGCCATTTTATGACTGCTTAGGGTCGCATTATACCCTAAAAGGGACCACAAAACTCAGTTGGTAGGAATTCTCGTCATTATCACCCTATTAGGTAAGCGGGACCAATATACTGATTTCAAACCCTAAAAGGGACGCCGAGGACCCCCGCCCTTTGATATTAGGGAGTCCCCCCGGGTATCCTGTCTTTCTCAATTTTCAAAAGTATCTAGCCCGACTTGATGCTCTAAGAGAGTCTAGTTAGTATGTATTGTTCATTCCAGGGTAGTAGAGTGCAAATAATATAGTTAGTGCTTAGTTAGACAAGACATAGGAATTCAGTGAGGCGTTACATGGTATAGTGCTTTTATTAAAAATCAAAATATAGCTAAAGCTAAAATAAGAACAAAACGCAAGTAAAACGATTTCAGAGCTTTTATTCCTTTGTGCTGCTGGCGCAAAAACAACAAACTCAAAGACACAATTTAAATCTAAAATAACTGCAATACGCAAGAAAACTCTATTTATTTGCGCTGCTGCAAAATCAAGACACGACATATTTTAAGGTAAAATATGCAGTAATACGAGCAGCAAAATCGTACAAACTGTCTAGCAACATTGCTGCAAAGCAAGTGGCCAAGGCGATGTTGCGCGTTTTACTAGCGGCGAACCAACTTTTATTGCAGCGAAATGTTTTGTTACAATTTGAAAAAGTTTGCAACAAAAGTCGAGGATGTTGCCCGTACTACAACAACCCAATTTGTCTCAGGAAAATGACGTCACGTGGCAATCCACTGCATTGGGCAATCAGAAATAAGGATTTGCTCAACTTGCGACAAATTGTTTTGATGCGAGATCATTTGGTTCGCTCGTAGTAAAACGCGCAACATCGCTTTACGCGCTTGGTTTGCAGCAATGTTGCGAGAAAAGTTGGAGGATTTTGCTGCTTTACTGTAGTTCCTTTAAACGAAATAAATACTGACGTAAATACTGAAATACTAACTGTGACTGTGGGTWAACTTTTTCAGCAATACGTTTGAGTCTCTCTAATAAGATGTCAGCTTCGATCTCCTTTCTTGAAAAGGATGGTAACGTTTGGATCGGTTAGATCTGCAGGGGCGGATCCAGAATTTTTCAAAGGSGGGTGCTTGGCTAACATTAAAATTTAATATTAAAGTACGTTGCAATTAATTTGACTTTTTAGGCTCATGTGAAATTATCGTTTATCGCTATCTYGGGCACACCTATAATATTTCGGACTTTTCAACAAACTTTTATATGAAAGATATTTATGAACATCACTTACATCAAACAGTTCTTCTCACTCTATATCTTTTTCGAAGTRATTATACATATTTTCCGTTATACAATAATCCTGTTGTTTATTTTTTTTTAAAAACTTTAATTCTTTATACTTTTTTCAAATAAAAGAGGGGGGTGGCTAGCCACCCAATCCACCCCCTGGATCCGCCCCTGATCTGAGGGGAGATTTTTTCTGTGATCCAGAACATAGAAATTATTGAGAATAGGAAGGCTTTCAAATGAAAGTGTTTTGTTTACATTTGTATCCTCGCRCACGCATTGTAATTTCATTTTKCCCTGATGATGGACAAGTTKTCCGAAAGCTCGGAATATTAAAACACACGTAGAMGGAACAAAACTGAGTATTTATAAGGCTTTCAAATGATTTCCGCCGTGGGCAAGAATTTCTGGTAGTACACCATCGGGGCCGGCACTTTTCCGGGTTTTGGTGTCATTGAGAGCCTTATCTAATTCAGCTTGAGTAATTGGAGCGTCCAAGTGATTCGTCGATTGGGAGTTGCTCGATATCCTCAAGAATATTTTCGTCCACTTCCCGCGAAGGCTGATTGAGTAGCTCACTGAAATGTTCTACCCATCTGTCCTTTATTGCCCGTTCCGAAATTAAGATTTTAATAAAACTCACTCGTCAGTATGTCAATTATGTTATTAAGAAATGATTCTGAAAGTTTTGTTACAATCTCTGCGATGAGTTTAGAGAAAATTAACTTTAAAGAAAAATGRAGGTGTTTTTATTTTGCATATTTTATCCAAATGGCTTCGTTTTTTTGGCAAATTAATTTATCAACAAGAATTCTCGATAATCACTGTTACTTCTGTGAAAATTTGAGTGCAATGGAATCGAAATTGGCGACGTAGTTGGAGTTTAAAACTACGCGCGAAGCGCTATTTATTACGACCAAAACACCTTAAATCGCCGCCATTTTGGATGAATGACCAAGCGAGACTATGATGAGGAATGCTTTATTTTTATCAAAAATGGCATCTATGACCTGAAACCCAAGAATTGCAGTCAAATGTGCGTGTTAATTACAAGATTTAATTACTAATTCATTGTTTTACACTTTTCACGATTTTTCTACAGAAATTCGAGAAGTCGTGTGTATACGAACACGGCGCTGAAGTTCACATCGAAGGCTCTAATGAGACAATATGGGAAGAAAATTTTATAAACTARAAATATATTTAAAAAAAAAATGGGCATGATGATCCAAACCAGCACTATGTATTGCCTATAGCTTTCCCTAAACCTAACCACTACGCAACGAGCTTGATTTCACCCGACTTTTTTACATTTATTTTCGTAAATAACCACGTGTATGTCCAAAAGACTGGATACATAATCAGTTTTGCGAGCCTTCTATATGTACATTAGAGCCATGCAYATGGAAATMAATAGATAGTTTAAGCATCACGTTTACGGCAAAYGGCAGAGCTGAACCAATGACCAAAGAATTTCGTGCCCGACCTTGTGCTTTTGGTAGTCATTTAAGAGCGACTTTTCACGATTATGGCAACCCCAAAATAACCTGCTCTCGCGYTGAAACTGCAACGTTAAGCCCTCAAAAAGCAGGTCAACTGATCTTTTCTGCCGTTTGCCGAGAACGTCATGCTTAAGCTCTCTAATATATGGAAGAAACTACGACAGACTCAACTCTGAAATTCAGCTTCACAAGTGTTGGAAAACAACATTTCCGTCCATGTTTTATCGATCATATCAGTTATTAGCCTTCTGCCCGTACAACAAGGCCAATATTTTGAAAACTTTACTTAAGCATTTGTATTCATAGTTAGTAGAGGGAGAGTCTCTACTAAATATGTGTATATTTAACAATTAGACCTCGAGGTCGAGTGGACTACGAGCTAATAGCCCATGAGGCCGAGTCCGTGAGGMCGAATGGACTATTAGCTTGTAGTCCACGAGRCCGAGAGGTCTAATTGTTTTAGTATAAACATACTAATCGGTCAAATAATGAAAACAAATTGAAATATCCTTAAAATAATTCATAATTTATTGATTTTGATTTTCCCGCGAGTGGTCTATCACAAATTAGACCATWAGTAGAGTAGCCAATCACAGCGCAGTATGAKTGATAGACCATTAATATGTTTATACTAAATTCCTTTATGGAACTTGATATTCACACAGCATAGATTTATCAAGCCCGTTCCTCCGATCAATAAATTAATAAAATATTTTGAATTAAAACTTTCTGCAAATGTCATTCTTACAGCACAGTACAGATAAATACGCGCTCAACCATTATTCTTGAATTAACAGTATAACTGCATTTTGTTAGGAGAGCATGCCACAGTGYTGTCGACTGCTACCACTGACCAGGGACTCTCACGAATAGACGACTATACAATTGCAAAACTGAATGCAAGATTCGTGTTAGTCCTGCTGAATACTTATCTCTGTAATTTTGTAGTTTTTTCCTAATACAGCCGCCATGTTCAATTCTATTGTTTCATAGTTAACTATGTTTAAACACTAAACAATAAATTCATAGACTGTATAGAATGCTACGAGTTAGAATAGAGTAAATTACCGCACGATTACCTCACAGTTACCGTACCTGTGAACCAGTGAGACACTAGAATACTCCAGTTTCGAATTCTTCAACGCTCTGTGTTAGCCTCATTTGTGCGCAAAAAATTCCTAATTGTGAGAATAAAAGTGTGAGATTTCAAATCAATTCTATTGTCTTTCTTTTCGAGTTCCATGCGTTTTCTCGGGCTATCAATGAAACAAAAGAATATGTTACTTGGTTTTGAGGCTAACACAGAGCAAACCAGAACTCGAAATTGGAGTATTTGGTTACAGTACGATTACAGTACCGTCCGTTTCCCACTCATACGAAATTGACTCTATCATTAAAACGCGAAAAACAATTAAAAACATAACCATTTGAATGTTTTGATTAATACAAATTTTGAAGCCAAAAATTATCAGTGAAAATAATCATTCGGTRCTATGTGTGCTTTTGTCCACTGGACATACAATAATTTCTTCAAAATCCAAGATGTCGGCAGTATTAGTAAAAAGTTTATGTGTTATTGACAAAGGGCCATTTCACGGCGCATTTAGTAAAATATCTAAATATCAGTTTGTAACTGCATGCAGTATTTGCTTTTAATTTAATACCCTTTAAAAGCTSGAAGTTTTGGCTCTAGTATTGTCAAATGTGTGTTGCTAAACGTGTGCAACACTTTTCACTATTTACTGCTAGAGTGCTTTTTTTTCTTTTTCGTCAATTAGCTTATTTTGTATTTTATGCCTAATGCTACGCTCTTTCTTGACTTCATTCCTTTCTTTCCTTGTTTTCAGCTCATGCTTTAGTGTTTGTACTCTACCTACAATATCTTCCATTAACAACCGATCCAGAGGTAATCATGGAATAATATTCAGATAACATCCTCCGAAAAAATAATAGATGTATATAAATAGATAATTAAATGATTTTAACATCTTGTTACATATCATATTAGCGGTTACCCTGTGGCGAGCCAGCAATATGAACTCTGGAAAATGGCTCATTGTTAGCGAAGTGAACTTATGAAAAAGYTTCTTTCATTATATGATCACAAGTGATAAAATGTCAGGGCACTTCTCAAAAAAATCATCGAGTTTTGCAGCATCGACCTTCCTATTCAAATTTCGATATTTTGGTTGAATATCATATACAAAATTAGAACTGTGTGCCAGGAGGCTCGTCTTAAATGCTTATTATTCGTGCTTGGTTAATMAACCAATATATCAAGAGTCGGCTTTGTAACCCAACACACAACATACCGCGAATGAGGTCGTCCCATCAAACGTTTTTTCGATTAAAACACCTGCATTGTAACTAGATCTAAGTAAATTTGCACATGATCATAATCGGTTGTAGAAAAGGTAATATTCGCTCTTAAAGTGCATGTAAAGGAACTTTTTTATGTGTTCTAAGGATAGTCAGCGACACATTAACCATCGTTTGTCTGGATGTGACGCAGGCTATCTAAGGAAGGTGTAACGGATCCTTAAATATGGTTTGACGAAAAGAAATTAAAAATTTGAAATAGTAGTATGTTTTGAGGCAATTAAACTTCAGAAACTGATAGTGGTTTTTATACCGTGAACTTGGGGCCAGGACGAATGACAGAGTCGATAATGACCTTTAGATCAAAGAAAAACATACTACTATTTCAATTTTTGAATTTCTTTTCATCAAACCATTTTTAAGGTTCGTTAAACATTTAGTTAAACAAAAATTCCTTTATATACACTTTTAGTACTTTTAATTAATTTTAACTTAGATATTTGTTTTTGCTGTTGTTGTAATGATTATTGCTTCAAGTGTACTGTACTGTGAGGATGTGTAACATTCTAAAATTCTGGCAATACAATGAATAAACTCCTTGCTGCTTGAAAGGGTGCCCAAACCACTGGGCACTGACTTTTGATAGGTTGGGACACATATGAAAGAATATCATGATTGTAAAAAAATTCTCTTCTGTCATTCACAAGAGAAGTCTTGCACAAAACAGTTGATGTGAGCAGCAGTCCATTGTATATCATTTCAATTTGTATAAATAATTTTGCATATAATAACACCAGTGTTATGACATTGATACCGGTACATCGGCATTTCGTGACTGTGCTAAACTTTGTGAAGACGGCGAAGAGTATTGCAGTTGTGTATCAGCATTAAAAGGTCTATTAGATTCAGTTATCATTATCACGTCATTTAAATCATCACCAGCAAAATTCAAMGACTTCTTCGCTTTGTCTGCATTACTAGTTGGAGTTGGACTGTCGCGGTTTGGTTTCCAGGAATGGTCAAATCCAAACTGACTTGCACCAGCACCTTCAACTTTAGCAGGGCTATTAAATATAGAACTACGTTAGTATTAATCAGTAGCGCTGTCAAGGTCACAAATGTTATAATTCCTAAAGCTGAATAACGTACTTTACTAAGACAGACCATCTTAATTAATTACCTGAAAATTATTCACTTTTATCAAGCTCAACTGTCTTAACGCTTTGACTGGCGGATATTTTGRAGAAATTTTACTTCGTTTAAAGTGGAAAGATTCAAAAAATGATTAGGTGTGCAAGGAAAAATTGGTGCTGTTTATGATAACTGAAGGCTCATATTTTCCAGGGGTGTTAGTTTTTTGTTCGTGTCTTTGGCAAGCGATCAGCTAGGTCAAAACACAGGAAAAATCGTTTTTAAGTGTTCTTTTTTAGTCAAGTTCTCGCACAAGAGCTCCTAGACTTCCATYATGAAGCTTGAAAAAGGTGGCTGAGGCAATCTCCTGGAAGAAATCAGAAGTGGGTAGCGATTTCACGAAGCCAATGGCGATCAATCGTTGATTTGAATACAATGGCGCGTAATTACTAAAAGTTAGAATCACCTGAAACCATCCTGAAACCTACGAAACCATCTGAAACCACCTACGAAATCACCTGAAACAGCCATTTTTCTGTTTTTTTCTTCTGTTCGTTAATAACTGTAAAATCTGCTATTAATTTCAAATTGCTTAGAAAAGAAAAGGGAAAAAAGAGAAGAAAGCAGAGAGGAATACAATTTGTACATTAAAAGTACCTATGACGCMTGACAAAATAATTTCTGATTCTCTGTGAGCTGATTTTATATAAAGTAAATAATTGAATGGTTAAATATTTCTGCATTTCAGTGTTGCGTCTTTGAGTTTTGAAGGTTTAATATTCCAATACACGCTAATGATAATGACGTCAAGGGAGGCTTCATTAGATATACGAACTTTGGAACAGTCTCTCAAAAATGTTTTCATGAACGCCATCTGTGAATATGGTTATTCCCTACATTGCATACGATAAATTTAATGCCATGAAACGATTTTCAAGCGACTCCTTCGGCTCGGATCTTTATCAGCCGATAAAACACACTCTTTCGTTCTTTATACACTACGTATACACCCTGTTAATAAGTCCCGAGGTTTGTGTTCTCCGCACTTGACGTCAAATGTATTATTTTGAATTCCTTTTGTATTGTAAACATTTCAAAAGAATAAATTTGACGTCAAGTGCGGAGAACACAAAACCTCGGGACTTATTGCCTTTCGAAAAACACTCGAAATTT